GTGAGGACAGTGACTGTGATGGTGGTAATGGTGGTGACGGTGACTGTGACCCTGTGTTGATGGTGTCAGTGAGGGTGACTGTAGTGAGGACAGTGACTGTGATGGTGGTAGTGACAGTGATGGTCACTGTGACATTGGTGGTGATGGTGACTGTGGTGACAGTCGTGGTGACTGGTAGCAACAGTGATGGTGATGACAGTGGCTGGTGGTGACAGTTTGGGTGATGATGTGACAGGGACGGGGCTGTCACCATGCTAGTAGTGACCACAGTGGTCTTGGGACAATGTGAGGGCAGCTGACAGGCCAACCCAAGTGGCCAGTCCTCCCAGCTCAGCCCGACCTGCTGGTCCTTGAGTTCCTGGCTGTGGTATGAGCTCAGCATTCCAGCCTGGCCTGAGAGGAGTTTGAGGGTCACACTGGCCAAGGACAGGCTTGGAGTAGGGACTGGGTGACCACCCCTTCCTTTGTAGCTTGGGCAGGCTGGACTGAAGCAATGACCACATCTCCCTCCCTGCTCTGGGCCTGGCTCAGTGCCCACGTTCCCAGCAGGACCTTAGCTGCACGTGGCTAGATTCCACCCCAACACTTCACATGAGGCTCCAAGACAAGGTTCGCCAGAGCCCTCATGTGTGGGGGGAGCTGGCTGCCTGTCTCTGGAGATCTGGACCCTTCACCCAGGCCCCCTTGGCTCACCCCTGTCCTGGGGCAATGGGCCCAACCCTGGAGGGTCCATGCCAGTGTGGGGTTTGGGGGTAGCCATGCTGTTCCTGAGCCCCAGGCTCCAGGTGGCCAATGGCAGAATGGTGGCCCCTTCATCCCTGGAGGCCTTCCCTCGGGGGTCTCTGGTTCTTGGTGGAGAAGCCAGTGAAGGGGCAACCAGAGAGAAAAGAGAAGGAGGAAGAGGAGAAAGAAAGGGGATGGGGAAAGAAAGAAGAGAGAGGGGGAAGGGCCTCAGGAGGGGCCCAGCAGAGGCCTCAGGTCCCTCTCCCCTCTGTCCACAGCTAGAGGCCTGGAGCCCACAGGAGCAATGCCCGTAGTCACCGGCAGCAAGGTGGTGAGGAAAATCTAGGGCATGAACCCTGGCAGGCCAGAGAGCGTCTGACCCAAGCCCCTCTCCGTCCGGTAGGTGGCTGAGGCTGGCTCTGCGGGCAGTGCCTCACATTCTGACTCTCTTGCTGCTGGAGCCCCATAAAGGGCCTGGCCCCTGCCAATGCCCCCATGCCCCAGGTTCAAACCATCTCTCACTGCCTGTTCCTAACCCACAAGCACCTGGTGGAAGCAGGGTGAGGCGACCCTGTGCCGCCCCAGGGGCCTTCCTGGGATGGGGTGTGACCACACACGAGTCCCTTCTTCTGCAGGAGGGGTGACAGCTGCTCGGCGAATGCTCTGCCCAGGACGTTGTGCTCTCACTGGAGGGGACACGTCAGAGCCAGCGCAACCCCAACACGGCAGTCCCCTCTGCTCAGCCTTGGGGTTCCCTTTCCTGTCTCTGGCCAGGAGGGGTGGTCCTAAGGGCGAGCTCTGTGGGCACAGGGCATGCTGGGTGTCTGCGGAGCTTCGAGATCCCCCTAGCCATAGGGATGAGCTGGGAGACCCAGCCTTCAGGAGCAGGGTGGAGATTCCCACGTTCGCTGTAGCTGAACAGCCACCTCCCTGCCCTGCCCGAGCCTCCAGGGGCAAACCCCAAACTCCCACTTGGACTCAGAGGGCCCACCGGCCCCGCCCACCTGCTTCAGCCACACAAGCCCTGGCCCTTTGGCAACCCCACCTTCTCCAGGCCTCCTCCCTTGGTCAGCCCCAACTGTCCCTCCCTGTGGCTTCCCCTGATCCTGCCTTCGAAAGCAGCCCTGCCCCTCGGGCCTGTGCTCACAGAGCTGGCATGGCCGGGGGGACACAGATGGGACCGCGGGTGGCAGGGCTGGGAGAAGGGGCGCACAGGGCCGTGCTGCTCGGTTGTGTGCATGTTGAGGCCTCGCCCCCGGCCCAGCGTTAGCTCCACGGGGACGGCGGGGTTGTTGCCGGCGCTGGGCACCCACAGGAGAAGGAGGAAGGACGGGAGACTAGGGTGAGGGCTGGGGCAGGCGGGGGACCGGCACCCCCAAGGAGCCCCCGCCCCCGGGAGCGCTCGCTGCGGCCAGTGGAGGACGGGCGGCCGGGGACACGGCCCTTTCCCCGCCCACTCCGGGTCAAGGCTGGCCTTGGTGGCCCAGCGCCGTCTCCATGGGGACGTGAGTACCAGCCGACCCCGTCCTCTGGAGCCCGGGAACCTTCGGGACCTAACGCAAGGCGCGCAGCCAGGGGGCAGAGAGGCGCCGATCCCGCCCCGGCCGTCACGTGAGCCGTCCTGCCACGTGACCCGCCACGTGACTCGCGTCTGCCCGCGCCGCAACCTGACATGATGCGGGAGCGGTGCGCCCCGGCGGCCCGGCCGACCCTGCCCTGGGCCCTGGCCGTGGCCCTCCTGCTGGCGCTAGGGCCGCGCGGCCCCGCGGTCCGGGGTGAGGTGGGGGTGAGTGCGGCGCCGGACCCGGGCCCCTCGCCGCCCTCACCTCTCCCGTCTCACCGGCGTGTCGTCCCCCGCCCCCCAGCCCACAGGGTCGCAGATCCCGGCTTCCGGGAGGGCTACTTCGAGCAGCTGCTGGACCACTTCAACTTCGAGAGATTTGGCAACAAGACCTTCCGCCAGCGGTTCCTGGTGTCAGGTGAGGTCAGCCCCGCGCCGGGGTCATGGAGCAGTGGGGGCCAGGGGCGCGGAACCCAGGGAGACCCCGCGGTTTGGGGACTGGAAGACCCTGCGGAGACCCCGGGGAGACTGCGGGCCCGGGACTCGGGGACCCTGCGGAGGCCCCGCGGGCCGACCCCTGCCTGCCTCCACCCCGCAGAGAAGTTCTGGAAGAGGGACGAGGGACCCATATTCTTCTACACGGGGAACGAGGGGGACGTGTGGTCCTTCGCCAATAACTCGGGTTTCATCCTGGAGCTGGCGGCCCGGGAGGCGGCCCTGGTAGTCTTCGCAGAGCACGTGGGTATCGGGCCGCGGGGCCCAGCGGGAGGTGCCCCGGGCCGGCGGGGCGCGGGTCAGTGTCCGCCCCTGTCGTCCACAGCGGTACTACGGGAAGTCGCTGCCGTTTGGCGCGCAGTCCACGCAGCGCGGGCGCACGGAGCTGCTGACGGTGGAGCAGGCCCTGGCCGACTTCGCGGTGCTGCTGCAGGCGCTGCGGGCGAGCTTCGGAGCCCAGGACGTCCCGGCCATCGCCTTTGGCGGGAGGTGGGCCCTGCGCGCGGGGGAGGGGCGGGGCGGGGGCTTCTGGGGCTGTGGCCGGACGCTGATTCCCGCTCTCCCACGAGTGCCAACCTCAGCGCACCTGTCGGTACCATCAGTCCAGCTCCCCACCCACGGCCCTGCTGTTCATACTGGCCCATCCCGCAGTCAGCCTCCCAAACGTCCCAAATCTCCTTCCACAGCAGCTTCTGTCTGTTGCACCCTCTTCACAGCTAAGGGTCTCCGCAGACCCTCAGCCCCACCCCCACCGGGCTCCTGGGATTCTCTCAGCCCTCTCTGCCTGCCTTTACCCAACTCCTCAGGCTCAGAGGGCGCTGCCTTCCAGAAGCCCTCCCTGGCGATCCCCCGAGCACCCCTGCTGGCCTGCATGCCCCAGTCACACTAGTGGGGAGACCTCCCTCAATTGTGGCTGTCCCCAGGAGTTAGTGAGCTGCACAGGTTCCCCCGTGGTGCTCATGCATCTTAGGAAATTCCGGATCCTTGAGGGCACTTGTGGACCTCTGGGGAGGAAAGGAGAGAGCAGGGCATGGGGCAAGGGGGCAGGAGCAGCCCCAGAACCTCTTGGGCCATGTGGGGAGGTGTCCAGGGACTACTCGTGGTGCAGCGTGCTGTGGTGGGTGGTCCGGCCGTCATAACCCTGCACCCCCCGCCCCACCAACTCCCCGCCCAGTTATGGGGGGATGCTGAGTGCCTACATGCGGATGAAGTACCCTCATCTCGTGGCGGGGGCCCTGGCAGCCAGCGCGCCCATTGTAGCTGTTGCAGGCCTTGGGGACTCCTACCAGTTCTTCCGGGATGTCACTGCAGTGAGTGGAGGCTTGGGAAGTCCTGGGGCTGGCCAAGGGCTGGGGGCTCTTGGGGTCAGGGGGGCCAAAGGGGCTGGGGGCTGTGGCAACAGCAAGCTTTCATTCTCCAGGACTTTGAGGGCCAGAGTCCCAAGTGCGTTCAGGGAGTGCGGGACGCGTTCCGGGAGATCAAGGACTTGTTCCTACAGAAAGGTGAGGAGGGCCACCCTGCCCTACACGCCCCCAGACCGCCCCCTCAGCTCGTCCACAGCCTCCTGGGTTCTTGTTCTCGCCCCTTCTCTGCAGCCTATGACACCGTCAGCCAGGAGTTTGGCACCTGCCAGCCGCTCTCGGGGCAGGACCTGACCCAGCTGTTTGCGTTTGCACGCAATGCCTTCACTGTGCTGGCCATGATGGACTACCCATACCCCACCGACTTCCTGGGCCCCCTTCCGGCCAACCCTGTCAAAGTGAGGCCCCCGTCCCAGGGTGGGCAGGCCAGGCTGGAAATGGGAGGAGGAGACGGAGGAGGGACAGCTCCCTGGTGGACGGTGGGGGCTGGTTGAGGCCTTGCACCCCCTCCTTGGCCAGGCCCCGGGACAGGAGGGGCTGCTGGCTGAGAACGGGCCACCCCTCAGGAGCTCCCTGCCCCCAGGCTGGCTGTGATCGGCTGCTGACGGAGAACCAGAGCATCGTGGGGCTCCGCGCACTGGTGGGTGCGTCTGGCTAGATGGCGGAGCAGGAGGTCGCCACTTCTCACTTCAGAGGATTGGGTGCCGAGTTGGGGGCAGCATGGGAGCGAGGACCGGAGACGACTCTGGTGGGGGGAGCAGATGCTCCCAGTTGTCCCTGGGCCTAGCCTGAAGGGGTGCTGCTTCAGGGGCCCCTGGGGTCCTCAGGCACAAAGGGCAGCCCTAGAGTGGGAACGTGGGTGGGCAGCTGGACTGCCTTAGCCACAGAGACACCACCCCATGCCCCACCAGCCATGACCTTCAGAGGAGGCAAGGGGTCCCCTGGGCACGCAGGGGGCCCTGAGTGTGTGGTGCTTGCATGCCCCCCCCCCCGCCCCCTCAGGACTGCTCTACAACGCCTCGGGGACAGAACCCTGTTATGACATCTACCAGCAGTACCGCAGCTGTGCAGACCCCACCGGCTGTGGCTCCGGCACCGACTCGGAGGCCTGGGACTATCAGGTATGGGGTGGGATAGTCACGGAGTGGGCTGCCCTGCCCTGCCTGGCCTGACCACCATGGGGGTGTGCCTGCAGGCCTGCACCGAGATCAACCTGACCTTTGCCAGCAACAACGTGACCGACATGTTCCCCAAGCTCGCGTTGACGGAGGAGCTGCGTCAGCAGTACTGCCTGGACACGTGGGGCGTGTGGCCTCGGCGGGACTGGCTGCGGACCAGCTTCTGGGGGGCAGGCACGTCCAGGGCAGGACAGCATCCTTCCCTCTGCACTGGGCTGCCCCAGCCCACCCCGACCCTGGCCAGTGACCTAGAGGGCCATATGCCGACCCCCACCCCTGGGAACACAGCAGGACCCTGGCCTCCCCCACCCCCACCATGGCTCACAGATTTTGGGGGTCCTGATGGTCCCTCACCATCCCTGCTATGTCCCTTTCAGACCTCAGAGCTGCTAGCAACATCATCTTCTCCAACGGTGACCTGGACCCCTGGGCAGGGGGTGGGGTGAGTGGTCGCAGCCTGGGCAGACTGTCTTCAAGTAGGTCCTGGTTGGCTCTTGGCTCTGGCCCCTGCTTCGTCTGCAGTTACGGGCTTCAGTTTAATAGTGATTCTGCGCAGGGCTCTCCTGGTTGGGGTTGCTAGAACTTCGTTTTATGTGAATCAGTCTTTGGCTTTGCTGGTCTCTTCCATTACACTTCGGTTCTGTTTTGCTAATACTTGCTCCAATGTTCCTATTTTTTCTTCTCCCTTTGTTGGTTGTTTCTTTTGCTGATTTCTTACCTTGGATATCTGCCTCATTAACCTGCATCCTCCCCTTTCTACTGTGAGCATTCAAGGCTATGCAGTTACTTCAAATTGCTGCTTTGGCTGCACCCCATAAGCTGCGCTATGCAGCAGCTGGAAGGTCTGTGATGGGGACTGGTTGTGGCCCAGAGCACATGTGGTACCCGACGAGGAATTTCCCTCACTAAACAGATACGGAGCAACCTGAGTGCGTCGGTCATCGCTGTCACCATCCAGGGGGGAGCCCACCACCTAGACCTCAGGTGCAGCCCAGCCCCATTGATGGGGGGTTTCCTGGGGTGAGGGAGATGGTGCTCTGCCTGGCTCCCTTCTCCTCTGGCTGGGTGCAGGTGGGGACGTGAGGCTCACCTACACGGTTCCTCACCACCCATCCCTGGTGCCTGCTCGTCAGGGGTTCCAACCCAGCAGACCCTGCGTCAGTTGTGGAGGCTCGGAAGCTCGAGGCTGCCCTCATCCACAGGTGGGTGAAGGCAGCTAGAAGGCCCTGGTAGGCCCTGCGGGGCCCCTCTCCAAATCTTGGCCCCGAGGCAAGGAGGAAATTCGAAGGGGCGACGTCTCGGGTTGTCACCAGGAGATCCTGCATGAGACGGAGAGCTGCGGGAAGATGAGTCCTAGCCCAAACCCCTGTGCCCCGGGACGGACGGGATCTTCCTGACCCTGCTGTGCCACAGGCCAAGGCCGGTCCATGGCTGCCGGCTGGCGAGGGGCCCACCCAACCGGGAGGCTGGGGCTGAATAAAGCATCTGGTTGTCTGGTCAACAGCATCTTGTTCTCTATGGGGAGGGTCATGTCCCACGGCCCCTGCTCCATGGCGCAAGAAGAGGACACCCTTACTGAAACCTCAGTCTAGGCAGGATGGAGCAAGGCCCGGGCACACAGCAGTTCCCTCCGTGCTCGACCCACACGCTTCACGGGAACAGGAACGCACATGTTAGACGTCTGAGAGCAAAATCAATGTTTATCCTAATTTTAAAAGCCCCACTCCACCGGGCGGCTGGAAGCAGGATGAACTTGTCATCCGGCCCTCCGAGCCCCTGCAGGGTGGCTGGAATCCCTGAGTCCAACGTGTAAACACGAGAGCCGGCCCTGAGCCCGATGTCCCCATGGGGAGCAGCTGCCACCACCACAAGCCCCCTGGGCCTGGGACGTTCACGGGCTGGGTGACCCTGAGCCCAGCCGTGTCCCAAGCCGGGCAATCAGCTCCTCTCTGAAGGGGACGCCAAGAGGCCCGGGCCCAGCACAGGCAGGAAGTGCCGGCCCTGGAATCACAATCATGATTAGAGTGGTCTCGAGGAAGGAGATTGTGGTGGTCTGGGCCACCTGGCTCACACACCCGCGATGTTTACTCTGACATGGTCCTGACGGCTCCTGACTGGGAGGCACAAGTGGGAATCAGTCCAGAGCCACTGCCCTGAGGCGGCTGTCAGGTCCTGAAGGCGTCCGGCTGGCTGCCCACTGGGCTGTCCCAGTCCAACCTGGAGCCCGACGGGCACAGTGGCCACTAGGACCCACGGCTAAGGTTGAGGATGCCCAGACCCTGGGCGGCCTCCGTCCACTGCTCCTGCCCGGGTCCCCAAACCCTAGGAGGGAGTCCAGATGGGCAGGGGGTGGGCCTCAGTGTTAAACACATAGGTATCCAGGCTGAGCAGGTCTGCGTCGTCGGAGAAGAGCAGGAACAGGTACTTCAGCGTTTCCCCCAGAAAGAAGCTCTCCATCTTGTCCCTTGGGCCCGGATTCTGGGGATCCTGGACGTTGTTGATGGAGGAGTAGCCGCCCGTGGGGACCTGCGCAGGGGCAAGGCCGAGGCTTCAGCAGCTCTGCAGATGCACCCATCCCCTACCCCAGGCTGAGCCCTTGGAGAACAGCAACACCCAGTGAGCGTGCAGCCCCCCATAAGTGTCCACCCCAGAGTGTGCACCCCCATGAGCGTCCACCCCAGTGAGTGTGCACCCCCATGAGCATCCACCCCAGTGACCATCCACCCGTGAGTGTGCACCCCC